GTAGGCAGGACAATCACACACCTAGCACTCAAAGCGGAGACACCAGAGAAAGCCACCCTCCCACATCCAGCCCATCCTCAGCTTATATAACGTCAGAGAGGCGATTGCTGACTGGGCCTAGTTGGTTAGGCATAGCCTGCCAAAACTGCCAAGATCTTTTTGATGGGTCGAAAACACTGAATGGGGTTGGCTCAAGTCCCTCAAAATAGTGTCCAAAGTGACAGCCAGGTGTTTTTTGAGCCATCACATATGGAGAACCCAGCGAATAGCTAGAAGGCCTTTCCGAAACACTTTTCAGACGCTTCTTCGCTAGGTCATGGTGACAGGTATGCTGGTTAGCCAGAGGTGCAGGTTTGAATGTTTGTGTCGTACACAATGTGATGCAGATGCAGTTCTTAAATTCCTCCACCAGCATTAATTCACGCATTGACGCCAGGTCAGTAGCTTTGCTGGACACACACCACCGGTCAAAGAGGACACTCTTTTCCCTCGCAAAATCCAGGAAGGATTGACCCTGCACCCTTTTCAACCCCCGAAATCGCTGCCTATAAGCCTCAGGGACTAGTTCGTAGGCTAACAGGATAGCACTTTTCAGTTTGTCGTAATCCAAACTGCACTCAGCGGACAACGAGGAACAAACTTCCTGTGCCTTGCCCACCAGCTTGCACTGCAGCAGGATGGCCCATGCATCCCGCGGCCAATGCAAGGCTGTCGCTATCCGCTCAAATGATTCAGAAGAAGTCTCCACCTCAGTGTCACGAAATACAGGGACCAGACGACTATTCCTTCCTACATCAAACTGTACCTCTGTCTGTGACAGCAAAGCCGCCACAGGAGGGGAGGAGGCCTGCTGGAGTTCCAGCTGTCGCAGCTTGACCTTAGTTTCCACCTCCACCTTCTTCAGCTCAACCTCCCTAGCCCTAGCCAGTTCCGTGTCCAAACGCCTAAGCTCTAACTCCCTTTTCAGCTGGAACTCTCTCTCACGCTCCTCCTTTTCCAGCTGGAGACGAGCCAGACAGACTTTGAGCCTAGCATCCTGCTTAGAACCCTCTGTTGAATGGGTGGAGAGCGGCTCAAAACGGGGCAGCGTCATTGGCCCGCCCTCGGGTAGCCCCTGGCCCACAGGTGTAGACACTGACGGTTCTACGACCTGGCTTGGAACATGAGGTGCTGCACTTGGTCCAGCCGGACCGGGTGTGCTCGGGGGTTCTTGCATTACAACCACCCTCTTCTCCAACAACCCAGACACCAGAGCGGCCGTCAGCTCCGCTTTGCGTAGACCAGCGGAGACACTGATCCCGTAACATGTTGCCACCTCATGCAGATCTCTCTTCCTACAAACATCCAGCAGGGCAAGCGACGGCTTTGCCTTAAACCCAGCAATATCAAACGTGTCCGTGAAACGCAAAACACAGATGAACCACTAAAGGGCCACACAACACCTTCACTACACAACCAAAAACAGACGAAATAAAATGTGTTGTGTCAAGTTAACCATTAACTAAAATTCTACCCACACTCCCCCCAGTCCTAACTACTCAGAATTTAACCTGACCTAGCTTCTGGAGTGTACCAGGCTCGAGTCCACTTTAAAGGCAAATCATCAAGTGCCAAAGGCACCGAAAAGCCTACCCCCAACAGAGAATTAATCCCCACCCGGGTTTGCTCCGAAAATAACAAAGGCAAAACAAAAAACGAGTGTCCGAAGGAAGAGCAAACGCTCAGCTAGACACTCCCCTGTGCTAGCCGGGGAGAGCAGCAGCTAGTCAAATGACACTCACACAAACACACACTCGTACTCAACTCAATTCCTTTCATTCCTATCCCGGACGAGCCCCCACTTTGTTACGTCCCCACATGAAAGCTAGGTGAAGAGGGTGGGGGACAGTAACAGTTGGATCCGGGTTGAAATGAAAAGGACGCTAGGCAGAGGTGTTTAACACAAAATAAATCTTTATTATAATTAACCCAATAATCATATAGACAGTAACAACAGAAAGAGACAGCAAGGTCAACCCAAAGA